CTGGGCTGCGGAAGAGAATTCCTTCCAAGTTCTAGCCACCAGCCCTGCAGGCCTGGCTTTGGCCCAGATACAGCAGCCGCCTGCTTCCCCCAAGGCAGGGCCTGCCCCGAGCGCCCAAGCAAGACTTCAGATGCCTTCCATCAGCTCTAGCTGGATTGTGGCAGCTGAGACCCCTTGTTCACATCCTAAGCCTGCTACTGCCATAATTGAGGCCTGTTTAGTTTCTAGTCCTCACACTTTTTCTCACGCTCTCCCACCCTTAGTCTGAAGACAATCGCTTATTTCGAAGATACCCAGGCCAAATTTGGTGCCTTTAGAAAGCCAATACAGCGGAAGACTCCCAGGTTATTCAAAATGCTTGCTGATGATACAGTCTGCTGGGAGGTAGACTTGTTCTGATGTCACACCTTGACAGTTGTCCCTGTGTCTTAAGATGTCTGTGTTCTGTGCACAGTGTGACCTTATTTCCTTTGAGTAAGCCATCTTCCCAGAAATGAAATCAAAGTCTACCATTAGGAGGAGCAGGGATAACAAAAAGTCTATGACTTACTCCCTAGATGTCTCAGGATCTGAAAAATGCCAATTCCAGAAAACATCCTTACACACAGCTGTGTGACTCCCCAGGGCTTGATAACAGCTCTAGTGTCTGGTGGCTTCTGGAGCAGTCATGTTTTCTCAGGGAGGTATCTTCTGGCAGGAGAAAACAAGGCACTCAGATGAACATCAGTTTCAGACATGTCTAACCTGAGGACTGCTTCATGGGATAGATAGTTATGACTGCAGTCCAACACATTTATATACAGTAGTGTCATGTCTTGTGCCAAAACTTTAGATCGTGTTAAATTGAATATAGACTAGGAGCGACAAAGTCAAAAGGGTTCATATGTAGATAAGAGAAGCAGGGAAAAAAATGAGGTAGTTGTGATCATGTCTGGCTGCCTAGAGACATATGCATGAGAAAACAGCAGGAAAAAGTCTATGCCCTATGGACTAGGCTGCCTGATCAATAAACGCCATTTGATCCAGAGACCAAGCTGTAAGTGCCGTGGGGCTCTTAATATTTATTGTTATTTTATGTGTTTGAGTATTTTATCCACATGTGTTTCTGCACACAACATGTGTGTCTGGTGCTTGCGGAGGCCTAATGTGGATATCAGATCCCCTGGAACTTGAGTTGCAGATGGTTGTGAGCTGTCACGGGGTTGTGCATGGGGGGGGGGGGGCATTGCTAAGATTTGAACTGGGTCCTCTGGAAGAGCAGCAAGTGCTCTTAACTGCCGAGCCATCTCTCCAGCCTTGCCACTGAGTTTCAAAGAGCTTTGCTGGCGCCTTTGCCCACTCTCCCCTCAGGGGCCCCCAACCTTATAAGTGTTTAGGTGAAGTTGGTACCCATCTAGCCTAGCTTCACAACTTGTAACAGGCCTCAGAGACATCCCACAAGATGTGGATGGATGCCTCAGGCTTCTCACCTCAGAGGGGCTCAGAACAGGGAATGGCTGCTAAAGTGACTTGGAGATGAATGCCGCGAGACACCACTAGGGACTTTCCAAGGCAGTAACAATCCAAAGATAAAACTGTTGAACTAAAAGACTCCTCCTGTCTGTTAAAGCATGCCTAACATGCTAAGGTTATCTAAGGTTTGGGCAGCATGTAAGGCAAAAATGCTCCTCACCATAACGTAAAGAATAACCAGTTAACCTTGGACTTTTCAACAACTTCATGAACTTGTGAGATTGCTGTCATTTTCCAAAAAGGAAACATCTTAAGGAAGTCCAGTAGCAGTTCTGAAACTATAACATTTGTCTGGGTGGTAGTGGTACATGTCTTTAATCCCTGAACTTGGAAGGTGGAGACAGGCAGATCTCTGTGAGTTTGGGGCCAGAGGACTGAATTCCAAGCCACCGGGGGCTGTGTAGTGAGACCCTGACTTAAAAAGATTGTATGATTTGATCTTCTCATCACTACATGGGTAGAGGCTGTGAGCTACATCTATTTCCTCACTCCTCTCTCTTTTGTCCAATGCTTTCTAACCAAACCTCTCTTTTTATATGGTCACCTGTGACCTCTTGGTCAAATTCCGGGGTCTCTCCTCAGTTTGCCCCTTTGACCTCAAAGAGAAGTTTGACGCTGCAGTCACCAAGTCCTTCCTGTCACTGTCTTAGCCTTGGCATGCCTGGCATGGCATTCTCAAGTTTCTCTTCTTATCTCTCTGACCCAGCCTTCTCTGTTCTCCCTGTGGGCTCCTCTTCTTCACTCCTCCAATCAACTGCCGGAATCCCTGAACACTCAGGCCTCAGCTATTCTCTCTTAATACCCATTTCCTTGGAAAGTGTCTCCTTACATAGTTTCACCTGCTACCTGGCAAGAATTTAGTCAAATTTGAATCTCCAGCTCTGATTCTTTCTGCATAACATCTCTCAGATCCGCCCGCTTCTTCCTTTCTGGTTTTATTGCCATGAGCTTAATCCATGCTCTCATTACCCAGGTCAAACTCGCAGACTGAGAGTCTCTTGGCAAATCTCCCTGCTCACAACCCAACCTTCCCTGCTTTGGCAAGAATAATTCTCTAACATCGCTGCAATCAATTCACTCTGGATTCTGAAGCCTGGGTTGTTCCCCATGGCTCCTTTAATGGAACCCAGTGATCTTTGGTGGGCCTTGAGTTCCTTCCTACCACCAATAGACAACCTGTCTTCCTTTGAACTGGAAAAAAAACAGCATATTCCTGGGAGTTCCAACACTTTGGGAATTTTTGCCTTGCTCAAAACGAGAAAGAGTGAGGCTCAGTGGCACACACCTGTAATCCTAACATCTAGGGTTGCTCCAAGTTCAAGGCCAGCCAGGGCTACACAGAGAGAGCAGGTCGCAAAAGTAAACAAAATGAATGCTACTGACTGAAGGAAGTCTTGTTCCATGTTCCTGTTTATACTATCCATTTCTTTACAGTGCACACCTCCTGACTCTGTCCAAATTTAGACTGCAACATTAAATGCAGAAATCCTTTAAAACACAAAGCACCCCCAAATCAATTGTACAAGTTCTCTCGCCTGCATCTGTGTATAGCCATGTATACAAGCACACTGTCCCAGTAATCTTTCTTATTTAATATGTTGTGCTTTTCTCTGTGTCACTTTCTTTTTTTCAGAAAATATAATTTCATTATTGATAAAACCTTTCAGACAATGGATCTACTGTCACTTATTTTAATGAGTCACTATTGTAATATTTTTATTATTCCTAGAAGTTTACTATCGATCCTAGACTTTATATATTCATGTCATCATGAGTGTGTAGATGACATGAAAGCAGAAGCAAAACAGTCTAGGATGGCAGTTCTCAACCTGGGGGTGGAGACCCCTTTGAGGGTCAAATGACCCTTTCCCAGGGGTCACTTAAGACCATCAGAAAACACAGATATTTACATTACGTTTTATAACAATAGCAAAATAAAAGTTATGAAATAGCAATGAAATAATTTTATGGTTGGGGAGTCACCACAACATGAGGAGCTGTATTAACGGAACAAAAAAAAAAACTAGACAGAGAGGGGAGAGGGGAGAAAAGGGGAAAGAGCCACATATAGGGGAATATGCTCAAAGTACGTTATGTACTTGAATGAAAATGGCCACATGTAATTAAGTTTAATAATTTTTAAATCCATGAAAGTAGTGCTTTATTGAAGACATACAAGGATATGCCTAATTCCATGAAAAGAAAGCATTACCAAAACAAAAGCAAATTACTAATGTGCAGTCCCATTGGATGTGGTGGATGTGCATAAGAGGATGGAAAACAGAAATGAATAGTAATAAAGTTTAAATAGGCCAATCTTCAGAAAGAGAACATCACGTAGGGGAGGGGTATCTGGCTCTTTATACACCAGGGACTACTTACTGAACATCCCTTCAAATCCCAGTCCCAGGACAGCCCTGAATGGCTGAGATACCACTTCCACACTTAATGAAACTGATTCTATCAGACATGGATTCCTTCTTAATCCTCCTCACCTTTACAGCCCCTATGTATACCATACCTGCTAAGTAATCTTCTGTTTCTCCATCATCTAGGATTCATTATTTCTTGAATGGTAATCACAAGTGTTGGCAATGGAAAGTCATTTGTAATCATATATTTGGGCACTAAAATTGTTTAGAAAAGGTTCTGATCCATGTCCACATTGTCTTAAAAACACAATCGAGGCACCGTGGACTATGAAATGTTTCCCCATTTTTTGAGACTGTGAGTCCTTCTTGCCAACAGAGCAGCTCCATGGAAGTGGGTTGAATGGAACTTTGTTGGGTTTGGCTACTTGCCAAAGGACAGGCACAGATGGCAAACACTGCTGGAGCCCAGAAGGCTGGGAAAGCCACGATTCTGGAGGGGGAAGGCTTCATGAAATACCGACCGAGCGAGCCTGAGAACACATTATTCCATCCTTCTTTCAAGCATGCAGTCACCCAACACTTTTCACATATTACTCTGCGCAGTGCCCCATGTTGGGTCCTAGAGACACATCAGTGAGCGAGTCACAGAGATGAACAGTCTGTGGCTTTATAACTCTCCCAGCTACTTTTTTTTTTTTTTTTTTTTTTTTGTGAATTGGAAACAAGCAGCGAGTGCCAGGACGTGGTGCTGGATGAGCAGCGGACAAGGCACCCAGACAGAATTCTGGATTAGAAAGAATTGTGTCCCTGGACTGAAACTCTCAGCACTAGAGTGCAAAGCCTTGTCTGAAGAAGCCTCCAGGCGGTCTCAGCTTGCTGTCTGCTTTGTTGCATCTTACCCTGCAGGCTCCTACCAGTACCATTTTGAGGGTCTGGCCTGCCACAAGCCATCCAGCTTGTCAGCTCCTATATTGGTGGTACCCATTCCTCATTTACCCATCCCTCCACCAATGTATCCAATTTCTGATATCAGTACACTGTAAGCACTTTGCTCATATCTCAGTATTTACTCATTATTTTTCACCTTTTGAAATAAAATACACACAACCAACTATATAAATAGTAATTGTACTCTTTTTCTTGTTTATTAAACCAAGCTTTATTGATAACATGGAATTCAGAATATATTACTAGGAACAGCAGCAGGCCCAGCCAATCATGATAGGAAAAAAAAATGTGGCAGTCTCCTACTGTGTAGGAAGCTGCTGCTTACCAATTAGTAACTGAATGTACTCATAAAGAGGTGCAAAGAATCAAGGCATCTTAGTCCAAAACTAATACTCTCATGAATATATGGTCTCACCTGCAGCGCTCTAGGCTGCAAGGAGAGAATTTCCTAGAGACAGGTAAGAAGGAATGGCTGTATCAATCCCTTGCCAGAACACAGACAGTCTTCCATAATTCCCTGGATGTTGAGCTTTGTAAGATTTTGGAAGTCTTCACTGCCATGTGCACATGAGCATCTAGCTATGTGGCTGCTGCTTTCCCTATCCGAACCCCAAGTCCAAACACAGCATGACTGACTGACTACACCCGCTGTGTCACACCACAAGCCAAACATCTCCTTATCATTGATAGTGAGGTTAAAGCAGTTCATAATTAAATATGAGCACTTTGAACAAGGACAATTACACTTTACAAAGAAACAAAACCATACAACAAAAATTGCTGGAGTCTGATTTAAAATATGAATTACGGCTTGAAATCACGGCTACATAAGTCTCAAATACACAATTTAAAAAAAAAAAAAAATCCGTTCGGGGTAGCTGTTCCACTGTTGAAGCTCTCTGGTGTAGTCCTTCACCTATGTTGTACCCCTTCCGTAAAGTTGGTGACAGATGTTAAAAGGTTGAGCTCTACTTTCCTTCGGAGGTGAAGGCCAGTCCATGGCTAGATGCGCAGCTTTACTACATATCATCAATTGTAGAATCAGTGTCATCACTTCTGTAAGAATTCAGTCTATTGTAAACAGCTTCAATTAGATTCCGCTTGCTTGCCAATTCACCCCCTGGTGGGAGGTTGGGGATGTTCTCACTTGCTAACACTCGCATCACATGGGCTAAGTCAGGGACATCTTCCCCCTGCCTCTTTATGATTTCTTCTACTCTGCCTTCCAGGAATTTGTCCAGCTCTGCCTCCTTCTTCACCGCTTCCTCTGTGACTTTAGGTGCCTTGGGAAAACAGATCAAAATCACACTCATGTTGTCTCGACTTCCCTTATACAAACAGGTGTCGACTACTTCATTGCACACTTTCTTGAGGTCATCACTGACTTCAAGTCTGGATCTCACAAAGTCACAGAGCTCTTCGTTTCCCATGACGTCCCAGATACCATCACATGCAAGAATAATAAACTGATCAGTCTCTTCAGACCTTTCAATATCATGGACTTCTGGCTCCGGTGAGACGAGCTGCTCTGTGGGACCTTTTCCATGGACACATTTGTAATCGAAATCTCCAAGGGCCCTTGACACAGCCAGAGCGCCGTTCACACGCTGAATCATCACAGAGCCCCCTGCATTCTGAATTCGTTCTTTCTCCAGCGGATTGCTTGGTTTGTGGTCTTGTGTGAAGAAGTGAACTTTCTTGTTCCTACAGAGTAAACCTCTCGAGTCTCCACAGTTAATGAAATAAATATGTTGGGGAGAAATTAAGACCCCCACAGCTGTCGACCCACTTCTGTCTGCACCGTGTTTCTTCTCTGACATAACTCTCATGTGTTCATCGATCTCCAGAAACCCTGTTCTGATTCCATTCTTTACATTTTCCACAGAAGGTGCTCCTGCAGAGCCTTTAAAATCCTTATTATTCGTGATATGATCTAACAAATGCTCACAGCAGTATTTGGCAACCTGAGAACCAGCATGCCCATCATACACAGCAAAGAATGACCACGTCTCAAGTCCGCTTGGCAAACGGGTTACAGCTGTATGCGCATCCTCCATTTCGACTCGCCACCCTTGCATGCTGCTTAGGCCATACCGCAACCCATTCCCCTGTCCCTGGGCATTATGCTTTTCCATCTTTGGCTTGTCTAAAAAGGCCCCCATTATGACTTGATCTTCTAGGTCCGGAGCAGCCGCGGACGGGTGGGTCCCTTGGTCGACCGGGGCGGGGGCGGGGGCGGCGGCGGCGACGGCGACGGCGGCCGGGCACGGGGTCCCGCGGCGGCGACCGGGCCCGGGTGAAGGAGGGGAGGAGCCGGGCTGGGCCCCGGGCTCTCGGAGCCCTCGCGGCTCAGATCATCCGGGCGTGGGAGCCGGAGGCAGAGAGAGGGACCCGCGGGAGGTGGAGGAGGCGCCCGGGACTCATCGCTCGCCGCCCGACCTGCCTGGGGCCCCCTTTCCCCAGCCCCAGCCACACGATCGCGAGCTGTCGACCCGGCCGGCGCCGAGACCACGGCGTTCTTAATTGTACATTGTTTAAAAAACCTGACAAATGTTAATATGTCACGACCATCACTCCAAGTCCCTCTTTGTCCCGTCCTAAGCACTTTTCTCCTTCATCCAGAGGCAAATATTTTGTAAAGTTTCTCCATTGTTGATTAGTCTTGCCTGTTAATGGCGGGTCATAATAAGTAGAATCTTGCAGCCTGAGTTCTTTTAGGTAAGCCTTAATATTCTAAGATGGCTACTGAGCACAGACTTAGGGACACAAACACTGTGAATGGGCCCAACATCTACTTATGCCTGGTATCCCCTCCCGATTAGACAGACCCCCCAGCTTTTCCCCCAGGCTGTTCCCACCCGGTATCTTGCGCTCTCTCTCCAGCTGTGTAGCAGAAGCTCCTATAGCCCTGGCTCCCCTGACAGAAACGGAAAACACAGGCTCAATAAATGAAAACAAATTGTAGGTTCCACTTTAGTGTTCAGTGGCTCCTGATAAAAAACAAATCGTCTTGCTATACATTTCATTTTTATTATTGAATATTTTTGAAGAGATGGACGATATAACAACACTCAACATGCATATATTTTAGTCAATGAAAATTTTTATTGCTAATAAGTGCCAGGCATGCTAAGACTGCAGTGTAGCTGCCAAACAGAGTCCCTGTACTGTATATATTAGAGCCAGAAGAGACACATGACAAGAGTATATGGGAGGGGGTGTGCTAAGTTCTGTGAAGAACTATAAAACAGATAAAAAGAAATATGAAATATGATTTCATATACATATTATATATATAAAGACTTCTTTCCTGTGTGGGCATGTACACGTGTGTTCATGTGTATGTGTATGCAGATGCTCGTGCACACGTGTATGTGTGTGTAGCACCACACCTAGCTTTTTTTGTGGATCCTGGGAACTGAACTAAGGTCCTCACACTTACAAGGCAAGTGCTTTACTGAATGAACCACCTTCCTAGCTGAAAAATACTTAAAAAAAATTAAATGATCCTAATTGTATGTACTGAAGGCGTTTAGTGTGGTATTTCCACACTGCACATAGTGGACATTGATCACATCCATTCCTCCTTTTTTCCATTCTTAATTCCACCACCCTGCTCCAGTAAACATTATTCTATTTTGAGGTCACCTTTCAGGCTCTACATGAGCAAGGGAAAGCAATACTTGTCCTTGTGTCTGCCTTCTTTGGTTTCATATGCAGTCCTCCAGTTCCACCCACGTTGCTGAAATGGCCTGATTTTACCCTTCTGAATGGCTGAGTAGTACTACACTGTGTGTGGGGGTGGCTTGAATAAGAATGGACCCCATAGTCTCATATTTGAAATGTAGGTTTTCAGTTGGTGGAGTGTTTAGGAATTTGGAGAGACAGCCTTATTGGAGGTTTGTCACTGGGGGTGGGCTTTGAGGTTTCAAAACCCCAGAACAGACCCATTCTCTCTGGCTCTCTCTGCCTCTAACTTGCCAATAAGATGTAAGCTAGCAGCTATGGCTTCAGCACCATGTCTGACTGTCTGCTGCCATGCTGCCCACCATGACGGTATGAATTCACCCTCTGAAAACTGTAAGCAAGCCCCCAATTAAGTGCTTCCTTTTATAAGTTGCTTTCTCATAGTGTCTCTTCACAGCAATACAGTAGTAGCTAATAGTGTGCATATAGCATATTTTTTATGCACTCATTTGTTGATAGGCATCTAGGCTGGTTCCATATCTTAGCTGTTGTGAATAGCATAGGCATGGGCAAATAGGTATCTTTTTGCACACTGACTTCTATCCTTTGGCAGTTGTGGGATCATTGGATCATATGGTCATTATACATTTAGGTTTCCCCCCAAGTACCCCCAACTCATTTTCCACAGTGGTGGCACTAAGTTGTATGGTGGTATTCTATTTCTACTGAAATGTTGTTTTATTTGTATGTTAATAAATAAAGTTGCTTGGGGGTCAGAGCTAATAGCAAGCCATAGCAGAGCTGGGTGTTCGTGGTGCACACCTTTAATCCCAGCACTTGGTAGGCAGAGCTAGGTAAGTCTCTGTGTGTTCAGTGATACAGCCAGCATTGGAGACACATACCTTTAATCTCAATACCATAGAAGACCTGGAGGGCTGTACAAACAGGCAATGACAAGGCAGTCATGTGTTTGGGTTTACAACCAATGAGAAGGCAGAACAAAAAGACTATAAAGACAAACACACAGGAAGTAGCTTTTTTTTTTTTTGAGAGGTTTCTTGGCTTAAGAGGCTAGCTACAGGGTAATCCTCTTAGCTCTGATTTCTTGGCTTTCTTCTTTGCATTGGTTCTGTGTTTCTTATTTAATAAGACGGTTGGTTACTCTACAAAGTTGCATTCCCACCAACAATGTATATAGCACTCCCTTTTAAGGATAAGACTTCTTTTATTCAGCTGAGTGTTTTCAACAACCATCAATGCTCTTGCAAGTATCTGCAGTCTGTTTCTTAGCATTGCTGAGCAGGACTTAATTGCTGGACTCCCTGATGTTTTTATTTTTAATCATTTTCCTACTGATGCACACATAGAATGTTTCTATTTTCTGGCTATTAGGGACACACTGTTGTGGGTGTTATAGAAATCCTCCTCAGGATTTATGTATCCCTTTTCCTTAGGCAAATATCTAGGGGTAGAAATTCTCAGTTGTAGAAAAGATGTGGTTTAGTCTCTCTCCTCTCTCTCTCTCTCTCTCTCTCTCTCTCTCTCTCTCTCTCTCTCTCTCTCTCTCTCTCTCCAGAGCTGAGGACCGAACCCAGGGCCTTGTGCTTGCTAGGCAAGCACTCTACCACCGAGCTAAATCCCCAAACAGTGGTTTAGTTTTATAAGCAACTGCCAAACTGTTTTTGAAGTTTTATGCTCCTCCAAGTAATGGATGAGGAATTCAATCGCATGTGACTACTTTTGCAGTCCTCTGCTTCGTTCATATACACAACCTTGTCTTGCATTTAGGAAATGGATTTGCCTCTGTACTTCTAAGAAGGGAAAGTCTGGTTTTAGGTCTTAGCTGCTGCCCCCAAGTTTGATGGTCACTAAATGGACAACCGCACAAGTTACCAAACTGTGAGCACCAGCCCTGTGGAGTAATCACTTTTATTGAAGTGTATGTGTTCTATCACTATCCATGGAGAATCTCGGTCCGTCCTTAATGATAACTCTGTGTAGTAGGCCCAGCACCACTCCCATTATATAGGTAAGGACACTGAAGCCCAATAGGTGAGGAAACTGAGATGTTAACTATCTTGCCCCAAATCACATAGGTGGCCAATCTGAAATTGGAACCAAATCTTCAGAATCCTGTTATTGTCTGTATCCAAAGGACAGCAAGGGGAAAAGTGCTTCTAAGTAGGATGGCTCATCAGCCTTCATGTTTTACAGACACTGAGAGGACAAAGGTGGACATAGGAGAAGAGACTTAGCTAATAGGAAAGCTACCAGAATCCAAATATGCCATTTTTCCAGGCAGGAAATGTTTCCATTCCACTGCTCAACTTCTTTTCACGCTTTGGGCAAATTCTGATTTTACTTCTAGCTTGTTAATGGTGCCAAGGATCTACAAAGCACTTGGAGATATTTGAAAAGAGTCCATGCATCTAAAAGAATGAAGTAGGTTAACCTTCCCTTTGGGGCCGAGACATAGGTCATGAAATGAAATTGGTTAGATTTGTGCCAATTCCTGCCTGGACATTATCTGGAAAATGTCCCCCTACCAACTCAGTCTTCTCTGAACAAGAGAAGAAAACGATGTCCTGCTACCCCACTTTGGAACATTCAGTGGGAAAGGAGTGGGAACACAAAGTGTGTGGGGCACTTGGACTCCCACAGCGCCATCTGGTGGCAGACTGGAGTTTTCACATTTCTTCAGAACTTTTTGCAACTAATACATATTTCTAGTGGTTGGGGCCCAGAGAGAGGACCCTTCCTGGCTGAGGTGGAGCTAAAATTCCCAAGAGGGCAGAGGAATGACTGATGCTAGCCAGACCATTATAACAGAGGAGTGCTGAAAGCACTGGTAGAGGTCAGTAGCAAGTCACAGTGCTTAAGAATAAATAGCAGATCCATGGGCTGGAGAGATGGCTCAGCAGTTAAACACTGACTGCTCTTCCAGAGGACCTGGGTTCAATTCCCAGCACTCACATAGCAGCTCACATGTCGGAGCCTGCCATCAGCTGGGAAGCTGGGTAAAAGGCATGCAGATTGAAGAAACAATGAAGAAGACAGAAAAGAGTCGAGAGGTCAGCCAGTCAATGTTGGACAGCCCCGAGTTTCTTTCCAGCCAGCTTATACACAGTTTTGAAGGACAGAGGTAGAACAATGCACAGCACAGGCATTCACCTCTATCTGTCCTGCCTTGTGTCAAGGAGCGGGCAGTTTCTTTTTCTATCTCAATGTACCTCTGGCTGGCAACAGCAACCTGCATCTAGCTAGATAGTGTGTTCCTTCTTGTGGGCTCATCAGGACTTTCTCACAGCCCTTCAAGGAGGCTATGTGGGCTAATCAGGACTTTCTCACAGCCTTGGAGCAAACAAGCCTGAACTCTATTGACTCAGAATAGACTTCAGATTCAAACTGGGAAACTGAGTCAGTTGTGGGTTCCCACACTCACAACTGTCTGCAACTCCAGTTCCAGAGGGTCTGATACTCTCACATGGACATACATGCAGGCAAAACATCAACGCTATGAAATACATTGATTAATTAAAAAGAGCAGATCCAGCTGGGTGGTGGTGGTACATGCCTTTAATCCCAGCATTGGAGGAGGCAGAGGCAGGAGGATCTCTGAGTTCCAGCCTGGTCTACCAAGACAGACAGAGCTACACCGAGAAACCCTGTCTTGAAAACCAGGAGAAAAAAATGAGCAGATCCAGTCTCATGCAAACCTTTGAACCTGTGCCTGAGGTGCATCTTGGCCACCTAGACGTCACTCCAGTTTCCCTATGCATACAATGGAGAGAACAACTGTCTTTACCATAGGAGTTGTGACAAAGGTTGAATATGAAAATGCTTGT